TAGTGGTGTTGGTGGTGGAGCTGTCAAAATCAAAATCGGAATAATTCATTGTTTCTTCGATTTGATATTTATTTATATCTTACAACAGTAATTATTGCTTAACTTTGGTCATAAATTTGTTATGCTTGTGAAGGTTATTGCCAGTTCTTAGCTGCATTAGTTTTGAGTAATTTCGGGATTTGTTTATTTTCAGTAATGTTTCAATGTCAGTTTAAATTTGTTGCGCTTCATGAAACTGTGCTACAAAAATCACTGAATTTGTTTAAAGATTATTGTAAAATGCATTACTTGTATCAAGCTATAAATATTCAGTTAACTTTAATTATGCTTTAAATTTTATTTATATTTTATGGTCAGGCGTGGAACTCATATGTACTAATTTTATTAAAAAATATTGTTTTTAAGTTAAATATTTTGTTTCTAAGTTTTAGCTTCAAATTAAATATGTTTTTATTCTCGTTAGTTATTTCTATATCAGAGATGATCAATTAACGAAACGTTGCCATTTCATATTTTTCTTATGAAAAATAAACTTAGCGAAATGATTTTATTTCGTTTCGGCGCCATATTATCTAAACGAGATGAAGTCGTTAACGTTGAAACGCGCAAAAAACTCACCACTAACGTTAATTTTAAAATGGCTGCCTACTATAATATTAACAGGACTCTTCAACGTTTAACGTTATCTGTTAACGATTTAACATTGCAGACAGTTTTTCGTTTCGGTTAAAAACGAGATAATATTTATTTTGGTAACTGCTTTAACGATAAACTTCGATTGGATTGAATTTTTTCATTAACGTGGAATTTCTCGTTGCTATGCTGCTTTGTTCTCTACAAATACAACATAAGACAGCAGGACGAAAGTTTGTTTCTTAAGTCTTTTGTGATTTTTCTTCGCAAGGCATTTCTATTATATTAATATAATGGAAGAACAGATTGAGTCTTTTTTCATGAACGCTTTTTTTTAGAAAATAACTTTGAATCTTTTTTTTTGTCAGTTAGGAATCTCGAATCTAATATTCGGCAGTCTTAAAAATTACAAAAAGTGTGTCTTTATCTCCGCAATTATAAAACAACTTAATTGCTATTTAAAAAAAATATTAATATATGTTATAAGCTAATTAACTTCAATTGAAAAGCCTTTTGGTGAATTGTAGAAATGACCAGCAGTTTCGGAAAACAACAAATCTCCTCATCAGACTTCTTCTGGCCTTTTAGCAAGGACCGATCTTAGGGATCCTGACTTAACAGGCGATCTCTCTACCACTGAGCTAATACCAATATTTAACTTGTTTATTAACCAATATGTTGGCAACTTCATACAAATCTGCATATAAAATTCTGTTCAAATCTCTATATAAAAGAAAAAAATTAAAGCAAGATTTGTATGTATTTATTCTTATGAGTCATAAAATTCAATGAAAAATCACAATCTGACCTCAAAAGCTGCGTTTTCTACTTAATTAAAACCTTACGTTAGTTGGGGCACTCTATACTAAAGCCAAAATTTGTATTGAAAAATTTTGCATAACAAAACTTCCTATAAACATTATTTAAAATAAATTCTTTTTAGCGAAAAATAGTAGAAAATTTTTTCAAATAAGTACAGTAAAATCCAGCTTGCAAGTTTTTGTAGTCAACATACGGCCATTTGATTTAACAACAGTGTCATTGTATTTTAGCAAGATTTATATTTTTCAATACTAAAAATAAAGAGCTCAATACCGCTTGGACTTTAACAACAAAATTTACGAAAAGAAATTTATATTTTTTAGTACTCCAAGTAAAGAACTCTTGCGTAAATTTTAAATCGAATTGAATTATTGTAAGTTCAAATAATTTTCGAATGCCAAATTTTGACATGTGTTATTTTGTTTTTATTCGAATTTTCGATAGTAAAATTTTTGACTAGTAGAATTTAATGCCATTAAGATCCATCAAAGCATATTGCCATGACCACGCTAATACATACATTTCATAATAAAGGGTGATTTTTAAGAGCTCTAGGAGAGTTTTTTTTTAAAACCCCCCTTTTATTTGGAAAATTGCTTGAATTTTTTTTTTGATTGGTTGTTCGGTTCCTTTTTTTTTAATGTTTGAAGATTATTTCAAGCAAATTTTGACCGTGACTGGGCCTCAAATGGACCATCCGCTTAGTTCAATTTCGTCCTACTCTTTCCAACATCTCGGCGAAAAAATGCTCCAATGTTGTCCTCCAATGCGTCAATTGAAGCGGGTTTGTCTGTATAGACATTAGATTTAACATAGTCCCACAAAAATAGTCTAAAGACGTTAAGTCGCATGATCTTGGCCGCCAATTGACCTGTCCAGAAAGTGAAATAAAATGTTCACTGTACTCGCCTCTCAATAAGTCCATTGTTACGCGTGCTGTGTGGAATATGGCACCGTTTTGAAAACATCATCGCTGAAATCAATTTTTTTTTAATAAAGTTCAATAATTTGCATCTTGCATTTGCGTCAGCTGTTTAAACCAGTGTTGCCAAAAAGATGAAAGCTAAAAAATCACCTTTTATATGGGAATCCGTTAAAACCACAACATCAACTAGTTTTCTTAGCACTCAAGCATTGATTTCCTTTACATCGAACGCAATTATTTTCATGCCATGCATATGTGTATATATTATGTAGGTTTTGTTTGCATGAATGCCAAAATATGCCACAGATATGAAATTGCAGTGCAACATACGAGTATGTATGTCTGTGCATATTTATTTGTAATTGATATGCTATGATTACGTGTATGTAAGTTATGTTATATTCATACAATTATCATCTTGTTATATAATTTTATGATGAATGCGTGCCAACATTGATACAGACATTCAAATACATAGCTTATAATTTATCACACAGTGTTAGGTAATTGTTTGATACATAAGTGTTAAAGCGACACAAATGCCATAGAAAGCATAGCATAATGGTTGTCATACACTGTGGAATCTTTTTTTTTTGTTTTTTGTTAAATTATGTAGTGCATGCATTCATGTTAAATATACAAAATTGTATGTTCATACGTAACTGCTCAACATATTTTCGTGCCACCTTTGAAGCCAATTCGTTTTGAAAAAATCTAAATTGTTTAGCCAGCTTCAGTCATCTGTTATACTTAGATATGGATCTCGATCGTGTAAACCACAATAATGTATGTATGTATGTGTGGCTATATGAAACTGTAAATGACGTGCATACATTTAAATGGGTCGCATTGTGCACGTTCCCCTTCATATATTCATATGCTAATAATTATATATAAGTATGTACATAGGTCTACTGATATGATCAGAGTTATAAAATCAATCAGTAAATACATACATATGTGGCTGCTAGTATGTAAATAAATGTACATAGCAAAAGTATTTCAACATGAATATGAATAGAAATATTGTATTCATTTCCTATTCATGCTCCATTTGTTGTTGGAAAAAGTCGAACAATCGCTTGAGTTATGGGAATATTTTATGCTCAATTCTTTCGTTTATTGATGTTGATATTGTTATAGTTTGCATTACAGGTGCTTATACATATTTTATAGTTGCGATCAAAGTAGCAGTTGAATGTAGTAAAAGAAACACCGCTTTTTCCATTGCTAAAAAGGTATTAATAAAAGAAGTAGTAAAAGTAGTAGCTGAAGTAGTGAAAAAAGTGCTAAATCTTTATCTCAATATGTAGATGAAACTCATACTTTATAAAAAAAAAAACAATAATATAACATTATTGGCAAATAAATAGTAGCAGAACTAGTTGCAGTAATAATAAAACACAGTAGTAGTACTCGTAGTAGTAGTAATGATGGTTATATCGACTTCGCACAAAGCAAAGCAGCTGGGTAAATATCAGAGAAAATCTTATTCTTCCTCCTATAGTTGTATATTTCTTTTTACAAAGATTTGTATAAAATCTCTCATAAAAAAGCTATCATAATCAACTACTAACCCGTTGACCAAGTTTAAAATGTCTGTATGATTTCCATTGCGAAATTTAACGCGAAAGCATATTACATGCAATGTGTGCCTTCATACATATTTCATTAACAAAAATATGTATGTAAAGAAGAATAAATCAAGGTGTTTTTATGGGGTGAAGAGAATTAAGCAACCACTTAAGCTTTGAAGCTCCATTCGCACCCAACCATAACTGACATCGCGCGATAGGCCATACCCACATTGCTCAGTTATTTGCGTGCATTTGAAAACTTCTAACTTTTCTAACTGTTTCGTTTATTATTATAATTAGCTAGACCTAAACAAATTTCGATTTCACTACTGGTTTGACCCACAAACATAATAAAGTTCCAAAATTGGCGGTCGTAAGTACAAACGGAAGAGCATAAATATACATAATAATATAAATACAATAAAAAATACAAATGTACATTGCCATTTGGTTGGTTTAGCTGAGGAAGCATTTTTCTTTTAATTTTTTTTAAGACAATTTCGCTTTTACTTGACTTCTGCATTTAGTGCCAGTTGTCTAAAAATTCTGACTTTTTGTTTAATTTATGTTTTCTCAGTTTCCGTTTTACTAACGAATGTGCTATAAATTTTAGCCATTCGAGTTGTTATAGTAAAAATTCTGCTTTAGATAATTTGAGAAAGTAACATTTTTTTTAGATTTATACCCAGTATAATTTTGCTATTTTAGCTTATAAGCATATAAACTTATTTTCACTAGCAATAAGCGAAATTTTTTGAATTTATCATTACTGTATATATATTTTTTCGCTATCCAGAGAACACTTGGTCTAAGACTAATTGTCGTGATCAACTTGAACCATATATAAAAGAATCCTTACTGGTTACTCCTTGGCAGTCAAAAATTTTCCTCACTTCTACAATAAGATAGTAAATAAAAACTTATATTTTATACTATAAACAAATCAAATAAAACTATATATGTAATAGTCCTTGGTGAATTCTAGACAAAGAAAAATTTCGTTAACATCAAAAATTTATTTTTTCTTTATTTTTATATTTCAGAAAATTTTACACCAACTCTCAATATGTAAGCTGCGTCAAAATCCTCTCAAACTCCACTCCGTTAAAATCTTATACTACTACTTGTTCAAATTCTGGTCAAATAACGAAACAGTTTAAAAAATTTCAAATTTATTCAAAACTCTAGTACAGACTCACAACCGACACACACTCTGCTGCCCAATAGCGGCCATTGGCATGTTTGGCTTATTGGGCTCCTCGCAAATCTATGGACTACAGCAAGTACATGACTACGGCAATAACATTCGAGCCAACAGCGAAAGCGACATAAATAACAAATCGATAAATGTCAGCAACACAGAGAACACAAATAATACACATAATCATAAACAACGTCGCTCCACAGCCAGTCACACGGAGAGTGGTAGTAAATTCTTTGCCTCATTGAGTTCCATGCAACAAGGCATTAAATCGCCAACAAATTTCATTGAAAAATTCATAAAAAACGAATTGCTCAGCGGCTACGATAGCATTAAGAATTATACGAACTTTCAAAACTCCACCAACTCAAGTGTTTCGAATAGCACTTTCTTCATCAGCGAAAACGCCACCGAGCACAACTCGACACCTGGTTGTGGTGGTGGTGGTGGTGGTAGTATTGGCGGCAACAACGGGAACAGCATTAGCGCCGCCGAAGGTCTGTTAACTAGTTTCAATTGCCTGCAGGGCAGCTATCGCAGCAATTGTGATGGTGAATTCTATGAACCGGTGAATGTTAGTGCACAGCGCAAACGAGCAGCAGCGGCAACAACAACAGCTTCAACACGCAACACGGAAGCGGACATGACGATCAAGTACTCGAAAAACTTGCTCGCCAACACCCCACACGAACAGTCGCCCGCAACACTACAGAACTATCAGAAGTTGTCGGAATGTGAGCAGGATTTATTGTTGACTCCGTCTAGTGGTGCTAGTTCGGGCGAGTTCAACAGCGATGCGAATGGTGGTAGCGGGGGCAGCGCGCAACTGATAGCGCCGGTGAATAGCTTGTACAAGCGATTGTCGTTTGGCGGGCGTGGCAGCAAGAACGTGACGGATAATGCAGCCACGCCAACAACAGCGGCAGCTGCGGCTATTGAGAATGTAAGCAAAAGAATTTTATTTTTCCACAAATTAAAATCAAATGAAAACAAAAAATTAATTAATTAAAATAAAATAAAATTGAGTAAAATAAACAGAGGGAAATAAAATTGAATTGAATTCAACTAAAAAAATTAAATAAAATAAAACAAAATCAAATAGAATAAATAAAACAAAGTGAAATAAAAGAAAATAAAAGTAAAATGAATTAGAATAAATAAAATAAAATTATTTGAAATTAAATTAAAAAAGGAATAAAATAAAAAATGATAGAGCAAAAAATTAAAAGAAATAAATTAAAAGTAAAATAAAACAAAATAAAATAATATAAATAAAATAAAATGATAGAGCAAAAAATTAAGTAAAATAAAATTAAATTATAATAAATTAAACAAAATAAAGTGAACTAAAAAATTAAAATAATAAGAAAATTTAAAATAAAATATTACATATCGAAGGGAATAAAATTAAATATATATTTTAAAATTATGTAAGTTAAATAAAATAAAATAAGAAGTAAGATGAAATTAAAGAACAAAACGAAATAAAATAAATCAAAAGAAAAATAAATAAATTTACTTTAATTCAAATTAAAAAAATAGATAAAATTAAACCAAATAAAAAAATTTAAGTATTTTAATTGGATATTGATAAAATATAATAAAATCAATCAAAATATAATAAAATGAAATAAGTTAATAAAAAGTACCAATTGAAATCTCAAATTTTACAAAACACTGCCCAAAGAGTTAATAGAATATATATTACATAATAAAAGAAAAATAAAATGAGATTAAGTTAAAAATGAAAATGAAATGTATAGAAGTAAAATAAAATAAAATTAAATTAAATTAAAAAAAGAATAAAACAAAAAATAATATAGCAAAAAATAAAATAATATAAAATTAAATTATAACAAATAAAACAAAATATAGTTTTAAACTAAAATATAACTATTGAAGAAAATAATACAAAATGAAATAAAATAAAATGTATAATTAAATAATATAAAATTATATAAATTAAATAAAATAAAATAAAAAGTAAGACAAAATTAAAGAACAAAACGAATTAAAATAAATCAAAAGTAAATTAAAAAAAATTAATTTAATTTAATTCAAATATTTTTCATTTAGTTTTTTATATATAATAAATGAAAATAAATTAATTTAAACTATAAATTAAATATTTGAGCATATTTGTGATTATTTGTTTCCAGGCATTCTTTTTAATTAACAAACATTCAATTTTTTGGTCATACACGTTTCAGCATACGTGAGTGTAAATTGCAAATTCAATTATTTAAATTATTCTTTTACCCACCAAACGCAGCTTAAAGCGGATTTCGGTAGCCGTTAAACGATTTCAAATAAAAATATTTACAAACTTATTTTCACATTTAAGTGATAATCACTTCATTAGCACCGCGATAAAATCGAAATTCGTAAATGACAAGTGCAAATGCATAATTATTTACAAACAAGTGTTTATATGTATGCAGGTTATATTTTTCTGATACATTCACACTTAAGTGATTTTTTGCGACGTGTTTTACACATACAGTACAAAGAAAAGAAGAACATAAACAAATTAAACAAAAGTAGTTTGTATTTATTCTAAATTTTTTTAATTTTTGAAAACACCTGGAGTCACACACAGCATACGTCACGGTTCAATATGTTTGACCGTTGTTATACGCACTCATATTTGCTTTAATGACACATATGTATATGTGACGTCATGCAGTTTAAAGTGCTTACACACCAATTTCTTTTATGCCACAAAGAAATTATACAATTTTAAGTTTTTCTTGTTTTTTTTTTTTATCTCAATTCCTTATCAAAAGTGCTTATCAGGGCCGACAACCAATGTGTTAATGATTTATTTTCAATGCGCGAGCACAGGAACAGTTCCTTTTTTTTTAAGAAATATATGTATATATACATATTCATACATTTGCGTATCTTATCAAATATTGTCACAGCATTTACCTGCCTTCGACTTCTGCATTCCCACTGCAAATAATGTTAATAGAGAGTGACATTAGTGCTTTTGAAGGTTCCAATACGCTTTTAGTATTTCGCTTGCTGTCTTCGCGTTGACTATTGTTTATCGGCGGCTCACAGTTTGATTTCGTATAATGACATTTTTTAATATCCATTAATTATCAATTATTAATAAATAACACCACAGATTGAAAATGAAATTGCTTTGGTTGCCACATGTGAGTAATTTAATCAATTGAGTGAGACTATGCAGTGTCTACTCTTTGTCTTACGACTGTTGTGTTCTTAACGCATATTATCATCGTTGGTTGTGTTTGCGTAAATGGCATTATCTAGATGCTTAGTGAAAAACTCGAAACAGATGTTCCAGAAAAAGTGCTTCAATAAAATTTTGTAATGATAAAGAGCAAAATAATATTACTCAACTGCTCTTATTTTTGTAATTAATATTGAGGAAAAACTATTTATTTATTTTATTTATTGCCAATAACACCATACTCATGTCCGAAGCTAAAATAAAAAAAATCTCGATTCAGAACTAAGAAAATAATTTAAAAATAGTTTGAGCCCAAATCTGCCTAGGAACGAAGCGTGACCTAAAGTTGAAAAATATTTATTATTATTATTTAATAAGCGTAATTATAGCTTTCGCTATTATGGCTTTCCTGCAGTAGTTCTTTCTTTTCGTAACACAGCCTGATTTGCGACACCTGTGGAAGCCAGATCGTCCTACAACTTTTATTTTGAACGGAGCAAGTGGTTCCGCCGTTGCGTACTTCAACCAGGACAAGTGATCCTGCTAGCATAGTCGCTGTCCTCTTATTTCTATATATTTCATACAGCTCATCGTAAAATATACATCGTCTACTGTATTCACCGCCGCTAGTACACAAATTTTAAAAATCCTTCACATAAGCTTTTTTAATTCTAAAACCGACTTAGTGGATGTCGTCAATGGTTCACGATCCGGCACCATAAAGTAGGATGAAAATGACGAGCAACTTAATGCATTAATTCTTTGCCTTGCTGGTTGACAAGAGTGATTTTGCGTTGAATTTGGGGGACAGAAGTCTTCATTGGTGTTAGTGTTGTTCTCTAAATAAACGATTTTTTCTGCAACTTTAAAATTATAATGCGAAATGGCTTTTAACCCTTTTCTTAATATATTTTGTTTCGTCTTGTCCCTGGTGACTGCCAGGCATTTCGACTTTGCTTTCTCGTCACGCCTGGAAAAAAAGCAGCACTCACGTCTGTTGAGATTGATAACGTCAATCTCATTAGCATACTATATAGCCTCTGTTTGAAGCTGTAGCTGGTACAAATTGTCAGGTATCATTATTCGGGATTCGGGAAAACGTAAGAACCAATCGTCAGAAAATCAAACTTCATCATCGTGTAATGGAGTATAATTAAAATAAAAAGAATTTATATTTCAAAAAAAGTATTAGTATAAATTAATTTAAGCCTTTCGATTTTAATTGTAATTAGTTCGTGGTACTGAACTTTACTGATGTGTTGAGCCAAAAACCCAGTGAAATTAGTGACGAGAGAGTGCAATTTTGACTTTTAGTTTGGAGAGAAAGTTGCATATTACTGCTATTAACACTTCAATATGAATGATATACTGACTAGATAAGGAACCAAATGTAATTTTGCGGAAGTAAATTTAATGGTATTAACGATTAATTAAACAGTTAAGATACAAATTAAATAAGTGCTAGTAAGTGATGGCAACGAAGTGGATACATGGCCCGCATACCCACGATCCCACGTTGAAGAATTAGGAATTTGGAATTAGAATATATTATTATTCTTTGTACAACGCAAATTGATTTGGGATTTCTGTATTTTACTAGAAACCAGTGTCGACCAAATGAGCCAAAAAAACATTGCGAAGCAAGATTGTTGCAACCGTTGCAGTAACGATGCACAAAATGAAATATTAGTGTCTTTCAAAAGGAATAATAAAGCTCTGTCTTGGATTTCATTTGAACAATATCAAATAAACTTTAAAATATTGTTGAGATAATATGGCCGGCTTCCCTGGCAAAGGAATTCCAAACTGATTTTCGTACTTAAATCATCCTTCCTGAAAGTCGAAACGACAATTTGTTGCAAAGCAACTTTTACATAAATTTTCGACCTTTTAGAGGACTATTAGAAAAACATTGATGTCTTCATCGTTGGATAAACAGCTGTTATACAGTTTGCTGGCTATTTTTGACTGAATCCTGTTTGATGAAAGCTGAGTAAATTTCCTTTTTTGGAGAGTAAGGCGTCTTACTCTCCCAATTTCGTTACTGGCTAATTTTTACTGACATTTCTCAACGAACACAGCTATTATCTACAAACAATTGATTATTTATGCCAATTCAAAATAGATTTCATTTTCTTTAAATTATTTTTTATGCAACATACGAAAGGGAATTTTATTTTATCATAATATTTGTTAAACTTATGTTGTTTATAAATAAAAATTAAATAATCCCAAAAAAAATTAGTATAAAAAAAACTTTTAGCCTCTTACGATGTCACGCAGGACAAGCTTAACGTACGCAGATTTCGAAACGCTTGACGGACTCCAAGTAAAGATCATGATCATAAAAAATCCATTAAACTTTTTAGACGCGCCAAACACACCATTCAAATATGCATGCATTTTGCAAGTATTTATATACATTTACTTTTTTCGATAAGATTAACATGAATTATTACAACTTCAAAATACGTATATTTCTGATAAAAAAATATCTGGCACTTCAAAACCTGTGTCATATATAAAAGAAATCTATTGTCTAAATTAAAATTAATAATCATGATAAATGAGTTCATATTTTGATCGTAAAATATGTCGCTTGAGAATAATAGAAATAGAAAATAGAAAAAAAAAACACCAAGCATTTGTATTATATCTATTAAAACAAACTGATCGAGGAACGAAAGCATCGAGTTAAGGCTGTTCAATGCTCAAACTAGAAACATCTTTAAAATTTTCTGAATCGGCTTATCTCACACCGTATTAGAGCGGGTGAGGAGCTCGATACTCTTTCACTGCTTAAATATTCAAATACATAAATTAATTTCAGAGTTTGGAAAATATCTGTTTCCTCAAATACTATACCTTAATATCATTCCAAATTTTCTCTGCTAATTAAATAAAATTCTCTTTACAACATCAGGCTCTATACAATACCCAGTTCGCAAGTCTTTTATTCGGCACTTTGACGCTTGACTTTATACATTTACGTTAAAGACTATACAATGCGAGTAACAAACGAACTTTTGATCTATTAAACCATTTTTCATTTCTATTTTCGACTATCGTACTTCATACATGGTCTTTTAAAAAGAGGTGTTATTTTGATTCAAAGAAAGTTTTCCCTTAAAAGATCGATGGTTTCGTTGCTTATGTGTCACGTGTTTGAAAGTATGCGTTGTTCAGATCTTCTTCTTCTATACTGCCGTAGGGGCCGCTTACGCGATTATAGCTAGATCAATACCATCGAATTCCGGTCATAAAAATGATTACTCATCTCTTGATAGCGCAAACCATTAATTTTCGAAAAAGCAAGGTCCAATGAAGTAAGGTCAAGATGATTTTTCTAATGAAATCTTTATAGTGAATACGTTGTTGAAACGTGTATCGTTCCATTTTTATTACTATTCCAAGTGCCAAGTCTTTCTCTCTTTTAGTGGGTCAAATTAGTATTTGAAATCTGTTAGAAATGTGAAAATTTTCTATATTTACTTCTTAGTTGTTTGCCTTCGTTACTACCGTCCACAACGCTTCACTCTTACCCAACCTACCAGGACTTTTCTTTAATTTCCAAATGAATCCATTCGCTTTGCAGGCATTTAAATGAAACAATCCTAACAGATTGCATGCCCCAGACATGTGACAATATAATTAATATAATATTGACATCAAACATAGAAAACATAAGAGTATGTAAACAATAGCAAGTACATATGTACATGAGTAATATATTTAGTAGATATTGATTGATACTCGGAACAAGCACTTAAACCATTAATAAGTAACAAAAAATAAATGTACTGTTAAAAATGCCTTATACTTATATTTATAACACACTGACACCACCTCCAGCGCGAGTTAATCTAATTTTTCCGATAAAAAATAAAACGGAAATATGTGGACGCATCGAAACCACAGATGGTGTTGTTTATGGAAAAGTTGTTAATAACACTTGATAAGAGTTATTATGCGCCAAATGTTCACATTCACGCAAGTGACTGCAGACAGACCACGTGGGTACTAAGGATTCGGTGTGGGTGGCCAATAAAAGGCAATAGCAAAGGAGTATGAAGTAGATTAAGGGAACCCTATTTATTATATTTGTAGAGTATGTGTTTAATAGGATTTTGGAATATGGTGAACATTTTTCAAAAGGCACACCTGCCTCACGCACGCTGCGAACTTTCAAAAAACTTTGACCGCGTTTATCTCGAAACCATGTTTTTTGATCTAACTTCAAACCCCGGACTTGATCTTTTCGATTCCGATTTATTTTATCTAAAAACTGTTTCAAAGTATATTTGATTTTTTATACATCTTGGACCTACACGTAAGGTTAGCATCAATAATTAATTATTTATATTTTTTCAACGTATTTGAAGTGAAAAAAGTAGTAAAAAATTTAGCTTTATAATTGCAATGAGCATTATGCAATAAATTCATTATTAAAATTGTTTCGGTTGAGGTTCAGGACGTAGAAAATTTCATGTTCTTCAGGTAATGACAAAGATTTTTGATTTCAGTTTCACTATAGAGGATATAGGCTTGAAAAGGTTGGGCCAAGATTTTCGCGCAGAGTCCGACGGAAGGCGCTATTTTATAGCCATCATTTGGATTTTGACTATTTTTTCCCCGTTTAAAAATCTTTAATTTAATTCTTCCTTCCTTTTCATTCCCCCACCAAAGAAATACAAACCTTGCCTGATTTTTGCCCAATATCAGTGAAGGGTCCCCTTAAAACTACAAACTGCCGCTTCCTCATTTTTCACCCAGTATATGTGAATAGCTTTTACAGAAACTTTTTTCAATCATAATCGAAGACTCATTCAAAAACACATTCCCAAAATAAAATCCCTTTATCTCTCTTCTGCAGGTCTCTGACTACTCATCGTCGAACAACTCGTCCTCCTCAGCGTCATCAACACTGTCGTCGAAAACCACCTCCACATCCCTTAAGTCCATCGACTTGCAGCGTACCTCATCCGCCTCATCATCTGGCGACTGTACTCAGACGAATGTGAACGAACGCAGAAAACATACATCTAACAGCAACTCGTCAACAGAGCATGTTGCCCAACATACAGATAAGAATGGCAACACATATCAACTAACACCAGAGCGCGCACAGCGGCGCAAGCTTATCTCAATGATCTCACATTATGAACAGCAAACCAAACTACTGCAACGTGAACTAGCCAAGGAGAAACGGCGTCGTAGCGAAGAGCTCGCTTGTGTTGCCAAATCCTTACTGTGCTTCGAATCGAAGCTGAAAAAGGATATGAAAGCGGTAAATCAACGTCTTTTCGAGAGGGATGTTGAAATATGTCGTTTGGTGCAACAGAATCGTGCGCTTCGTAAGCGTCTCATAAAGTACACCGAAGCAGAGGGTGAGAACACACGTGACGAGGGAGTTGTGGAGGATGGTGAAGCAGAGACGGAAGTGGAGAGTGAGTGCGCGGATCAAATTGAGCGCAGCGAAAAAACGAAGGAAACTCAAAGGCTGGAGCATGTCACTGAGCTATCGCCGGCGTACAGCGACCAACAATTGCTAGCTGACTGTTTGGTACTCGAAGCTTTGCAATGCATTAATTGCAAGAAGCAATTCTATGACATTGATTTAAACGATAGCTGGACGCAGAACACAACGAAAGATGGATCAAGAAAAAATGGTTAGTATATTGTGAGCTCAAAACATTTTAAGAGAAGCTGTCTCTAATTTTCCCCCCTCTTTCCATTCCCTGCAGTTGACCACACCACTGAACACGGCTCATCGAGTGATGATACAGTCTCATCGTCGTTTTACGGAGCCCGGCGCAGTGTACGCTATACCAGCAAACGCACCTCCGGCACTTTCCGCGATTACATGCGTTCGCGTGCGATGAACATCGATGACCCGGCGTTGGATAACAATTCAGAGGAGAATACAAGCACTATAAGTCGTGACGACTCACAGACCAGCTACGAGAAGCTCAATATTTACTCGCGCACCATGGAGCGTCTGCATGGCGTAAAGGCCGAAAGTGAGCGGGAGTCGGAACAAAGCTGCATGGAGGGTACAGTGAGACCTGCCTCCCGCCTAAGCTGTAAAAGCGTAAGCAGCGGGAGCAGCAATTGCAGTAGACAGAGCCTTAAGGCGCCAACTCCGCAAATAGAAGAAGATGACGGCATATTTTCACCCACACAGGATGACGATTTCGAAGAACCAGAAGAACTCGGCGAACGGAGCATTAAAATTGTTATGCGTCGAACAACCGAATTCTCCGAAGCGTCCCCCAAGCAGGTGTACGAGACCTCCACCGATGATTGGTATGCTAGCGCCTCCGATCAGGAAGAAATCGCAACAACAATCGATGCCAAGTCTTATGCCAATGGCGCTGTTAATCCAGTGCTGGAATGTGTCAATCAGATATTGCTGCAGCAGTCTATGGAGGAGCCTTTAGCTGAGCGTAAGAATCAAGCAGCTACCAATCTAACTCCATCTTTGCAAGCAAGCTACAGCAATGCCGCAGCAACCGGCAATTTACCACGTCGCAGTTCGCTAAGTGGTAGACGCAGCTCTCGCAGCAATAGCCGCTCCAGTGACGGACAACCATCACGTAATGGCACCTTAACACGCAAACGGGTGCACTTCTCCACCAAAAACAGTATGGTACATGTGCCGCGCAACGACGAGCATGACGAGGAGGACGAAGACGCCAATGATGACAATACAACACAAGACACGCAAGACTCTAATGATGCAATGATCTCAAGCCTAGCCCAATATCATCCGATGAGTTATTATCCACAAGCTGCACAGCAAGCGGCAACAGCTAAAGCCGCTGTGGGCACTATTGCACGTGGCGGCATGCTTGCCGAAGTGAGCGAACAAGAACGCCTCGAAACGCTAAACTACGAAAGTATATATAGCAACGAATATGAACCAATTGGATCCGAGCATAATTCCTCAAATCTCTATGTCGACATGGAGTCAGCCACTAAATCAACGACAGCAATAAATGTCAATTCAAACGGCGCTACTGGCATCAGAGATGCAAAAGTGGCAAAAATGCCACCCGCTTTGCCACCGAAACCAGCAAATCTGCTTAAGTTCAAGAAATCCCTACAACAACTTGATGAGTTACCCGACGAACATCTACACCAGGATGCGCCCACCACGGTCGAGCCAGACTACTGCTCTATATCCGAAGTAAATATGGGCATAACGAGCGTACAAATTGTAGCCGATGTGCACAAAGTGCCCGAGTCAGAAGTTGATTTGGAATCTAACTTTGAGCTGGAAGCACCCATCTCCGAATTGGATGTAGAGGTGTCGACAGTAGCATCTGACGAGACATTCGCTGTCTCCCAAAAGACTGATGAAATCGAAGAAATCTTTGCCGATGTACCAAAACTACCGAATGTGGCGGCGATTATTGCGCCAAAACAGGCCAAATATTCAGGGCGACCGCAACAACTACAAAGTCCCCAGCGCACCCTACCTCCAAGCGACTATCTAGTAATGTCACCCAAGGTGGAGACATCTAATATGAAGTTACAAAATGCCCGCAGTGCCACTATATTAAATAGCGTCTCGACGACCAAGCAGCCGATTAATTGTAAAAGCTCTCCAAACAATGTCGATAGCACGCCAAAACCGCCTGTAAAACCTACTACCTACGACTACCTAAACACACCCATTAAAGCCGCTAACCGCCCTGATAACAGCGCGCTAAAACTGCACCTACACACCCCCAGTCCACTGCAATACAAACGCAAGCACATGCCGAACATACTTGCCGAAATCAATAAGCGCATGAGTTTGCCGAACTCGCCCACGACACCCAACGCTAGACTCACCTTTGCAACGCCCCCTAAGTCGATGGTATCTACTATGAGCAAGTCAACTATGCAGCAGAAGCTCGACGCCAGCACACTTCCAAATATGCCAATGCACGCTGAATTCGATTGGTATAATTTGGATGCTGAATATGGCAGAACCTCGAACTCGTTGCCACAGCCCGAACTACATAAAATAAGCGAATCACTTACTAACGGCACCATACTCGCCGGCATACACGAAGATGGTGAGAGTGTCGCCGCCGCAGCTGATGAATACAATTTAGATGAAGAATTCTCGCTGACCGGCGATAAACCAGACATATTATGTGCATCCAGCAGTGAACATGACATCGAGAGTGCCGAGGAGAGGAGTGAAATAAGCGTTGTGTATAGTACAAAACCAAAACTGCCACCAATGAAACCGCAGGCCACTACAACTGATAGTGCGAAACTTGAGAATGTGACTACTTTGAATGCCGCCATCTGTGAGGCAGTAAATTTTCCCATGTTCAGCGAAAGTTCACCAATGGTTGCGCTGTCGCCGGGAATAGTACATCATCATGCCAAGGCAAAGAAGATTAAAAAGAATTTAGCTAACTTTGAGAAGTTCATTGAAGGCTCCGGCTTGAGCACAAAACCTCTACCGAGTAAACGTAAAATCTACTTCGCTGGACCGTTTGTGTGATCAAAATATGGAGAGAGCATAGAATGAGAGGAAGAGAGCACTCATTGAGCGTTGGGGAAAAAATTAATGAGGAAAACGAAACAACGAAATGACGTATAGGAAATAGCTACGGGAGTTTATTTAATATTGAATTCGCCAGCTTAAGTGATCTACAAAGTATACTGAAAGACGATGTCCTAGGAATTATACAAAATAGTAGTTAAAATAAATGTTGTGTTTTGCATTATTTTTTGCTTACTTTGTAGTGTGAATAATTTTAAATATGTATGATCTAAAACTAGAAATTATCTTGAGTTTTTAATTAAAAAACTTTAATCTCTCATTTTTTTTATTATTTTAAATGGTATTTCAATTAAGTGTTCAGTTTATTGTATTTGCGTTTCCTGTTCATTAGGTTTAATTACAAAAATATTACAATAACAATTAAATTATTTTCCAAATATAACCTGCTAATTTGTTTATATGTATGTTTATTTAATTTTAAATAGATTTTTATAATTTTAATATTTGCTTAGCGAAATAACTTTGCTATAAAATCTGTCGAGTTAATTGAGAATTTGTAGAATTTTCGTTTGAAAACATCAATAAAGAATTAATAAAATTACCGAAAATATTTACATTATGAGGTCTTGTATGTTAACAGGCAATGTGTCTCTAAAACAATTGAAAAAGCCTACTTATGTACATGTGTAATTACATATATTATATTTTATTGGTAAATTATGCCAACAGGTGCGGACTATAAACAAAATACTCAAGATCTGTATTCTGATATGAGTCAGACTCTCAATACCTTGGCACAAAAGTACTTTGGATTCAAAACTCGAAATGATTACCAATTGAGAATAAATAGGTACAAGCTGTGTTTAAAATATTGCCAGAATTTTCATTATTTATTTTAACACACAAACTGCTTTGAATTTGTAGGTTATACTCCTTATTGACCGGTTGAGCTAGATCGAAGCCCACAGTGAGCATAACTTTCACGTTCGGCCGCACTTGTTAAGCCTTCTGTGGTTTTGGCCTGAATATGTATCCAAAGCGAGTTTCGATGTCATATCTGTAAATCCTGTTATAATACGTTTCCTTCTTCCTCGATTTCGTTAAGTAACTCCTGAGCAGCATCCGTTTCGCCGTTGTTCAAAATTAAAACTTGGAGCAAATTTTACTGCCACGCATACTGAAAACATTGAAAAAATCATTACATTATCCCAACATGATATATTTTGTACCAAGAATATGATATCCACTTTTTCTTCTTCTCCATAGGCTCCAGCACCGCTTGCGCGATTATTGACAAATCAGAAATAATGCGCCATTCCTACTGTTTCGCTGTTAGAGGTCAATTGGAAATACCAAGTGAGTCCAGCTCGTTCTCCACCTCATCTTTCTAACAAAGGAAAGGTCTCCCTTGCTTCCACCAGCGGGTGCTGCATCGAATACTTTCAAAGCAAAAGTTCTTTCATCTATTCGGACGCCATGGCCTAGTCAGCGGAGCATATTTGTTTTCATTGCCCGTACCATGTCAGTGTTGTCGTTTAACTTTAACAGCTCATCGTTCCATTGTCTGCGGTATTCGTCGTCACTAATGCGTAAATGACCATAAATCGTTCGCAAAATCTTTCTCCCTAAAATTTCTAACGCTGACTATAGTAAGACGGGTATGATGAATCTACAATTCGCTTGGTCTTCATTCGTCGAGCAAGAACTTTACTTTTCAATTGCCTACTCAGTCTAAAGTAATACCTGTTGGCAAGAGTTATTCTGCGTTGGATTTCCAGACCGAAATTGTTGTTGGTATTAATAGCCCGAAATAGAAGAAGTATCTACAACTTCAAAGTTATGACTATCAACAGTGACGTGGGAGTCGAATCACAATTGTGATGACTGTTTATTTGTTGACAGGAGGTATTTCGTCTGGCCTCGCAACGCTTCCTTATTCAGTCTGGATAAACCAGAACTCAATGAGTGGTTGTTGAGGCTAATAGTGTGTCTGCAGCTCTTATCGATTTCTCCAGCAATAAATTAAAGAAGTCCCACAATCAGGAATCACCCCATCTTGTTTGCTATCAACTCGGACTCGGAGAAGTCCTTCTCAAAAGTGACAGGGCTTTTGGTGTTGCTTAATGTTAGTTTACATAGCCGTACAAGTTTTGCGGGGATACCGAATTCGGACATAGTGTCGAAGAAGCAGTTCCTAAACGGAAGATCTAGAGCATACTGTCATTTAAGTCTTAAGTTTCATTGCTTTCATCCAGTAGCATTCCTGCCAAAGGGTTTCTCTCCCTATTTCCGGATAATTTATATATTTTTTTTAAATTATGCCCATTAGTTCAGAATGTATTAAGTAGAAAATCATGCTCATTTACAATCGTGAGTTCGTTCCATTCAATGATTGCGGAGAAATATTCAGGAGATAAGTCAACACAGGTTTCTTCAAATACTAAATTCTATCTACGTTTTTAGTGATTGCTTAGACAATCAAATGAGATAATTCACTTTGGTATGGAGGTCAGTAAGTTGGTTTTCTTGGAGAGATAAAATCGTATCTATTTTCGGTACTTATGATTGTATTAAATATCTGTCGACTTTTTTGGTTAATTACCCTGCAAGAAGGCTTCCGATCACTTGAGCCAACATTTGTCAGGAATGCATATCGACATATCCCATCAGCTCGTAGAACGATTTTCCTTTCACTCGCTTAAGGCCGAAATGACAAACGTGACGTCATTCTCTCTTCATTTCCTCGTTCATTTTTGTAATTCTTGTCGGACAAACCGAACACAGCTGAGCGACAACATTGTTTCCAAAAGAAAGCAATATGGACGTAAAAAAACAGCAGTAGTGCCATACAAGCCGAACTCAGATGACAGCATTGATGGCGAAGGAAATCAGCTTTGACATAAGTTTTCCCTACATTATTACATACATACGCTTTGACAAAAATTTTCCCTACATACATATATACAAACATACGTACAATCATTATTAAGATTCAGTTTTTATTTTAATATTTTTACATAGATCAGGTACATGGTTTATATAGTATACAAAGAAATATAATATAGCAATAAATTCATTTTTAAAAATCTGCAAAATATTTTAAGCAAGTTGGTGACGCAGCTTCTAAGCCCTCGGACGCTCCTTTGAAATATAAAGATGCCTAAGTACAATAAAAAAAATTAATATTCGAATCAGAATGTTATTAATGTTTATGCAGTTGTACCTCAAGGCAAAGTTTTGGAAAACATTTTTAAATCTGCTACTGCGGCTAGATGAGAAGCGTCCATTCCAATCAAACTGCTCCATTAGTTGATCTTTTCGTACGATTTGGAGTGCCCTTAAATAAACAAATATAAAAAGCAATGAAAAATGAAGTAACTAATTAATCCAAAATATATTATTACCATAGCTTGTATATTTTTCACTTACATCTACTGCGGAGAAAACGATAAAAAATGGCGTTCTACTCGAAAATAAGAACAAAAAATCGGATAATCCGTTCAACTGCATTCTTCTTCAACTTGTATGTACTCAGAAGAGAAAGATAAAAAAAAATATGCATATGTGTTAGTGCTGCCCGAAATCGTGTGAGTGTATTGGTGAACCATCAGGCCGTTCTTGCAGGGTAGTTTGAAACTCCGATATGTATGCTTCGCATTGCAATTACCCCCAGTCTTAAAAAAGTCGATAAAATATTTTTCTGTTATTACGAAACGAGGCGGCCAGTAAGTCGCAGCCAAAGTAGGGCTACCCCCTTATTTTTAAGAGTGATTTTAGCTGATGCCAACCTGAGTCGAAAAGGAGTGAAAAAACTCCTTTAAATTTCCCTCCTTGCTCTCCCAAAGTATGGTAATTCTGCTTAGTGTTGAATCCGTTGGCCGTTGTCTTAACCTTCCGCTTTTTCTCCACAACTAAAGCAGATCCATAAACATAATGCATAAATCAAAAGAAAATTGTAGTTTATTCAATGCATTTAAAATCGTCATTTAGAAGTCGCAGTGCGTAATGGTTTCACTTTGGTTTTAAATATTTTAACTTCAGCTAGCACTACAAAATAGCTTCTTAATATGCTAATAGACTGCAGTTTAAGCGTGCTTGTTTTTGTTTTTTGTATATCATTATTATTAACTTTTTTTATTGTGCTGTAAAAATATATCTTTTTTCTCTGAGATGACTCCCTTTATAAATTTTAAAATAAATGCTGACAGAAATTAATTTCAACATTTAAGTTTAGTGTTCACTCAAAGCAGGATTAGCGATTTGCCAACCATTTTATGTAGCATTTTTACTGAGTTAGAGTTTACTTTGTACAACAAGTTCTTAAATAATAATTTGTGATTATCTTAAGTACAAAGGCTGTTCTAAAGCGCACATTTTCTACTTAACTTGTACAAACTACATTTTGTAGAGCCTTACGCCAGCATTTTTCAAAGCATTGTGCCAATAAGCTTTAACATATTTGTGCCGAATTGAACATTTACATTATTTGGATAGTGATTTATGTGGAATGCATGATTCCAATTCCATTAAATAAAGCAATAAGGAATGATTATTATATTCTCATACTTAAACCGAAATGACGTTTTATAAATAATACATTTTAATGGTAAAGAAGGAAGAAAATACAAATTGACACCTCTTCAAATGTAATGTGAATTATCATTTCTATTTTTCAAATCCACTACTATATATGTATGCCACTTGAAATTCGCTTTAAAATTAAATGCTTCCACATATTTGAAATCAACTATCGCAGAGAGCAAACATATCTCATATTCAAATATAAAAATAAATGAATTTAACAAAAGCCAAATAATAATTATAATTAAGTACAGGTATCTATTTGAGTGAGTATGCGCAGCAATTCCTTAAATCATAACATAAACTGAAATATCAAAAAATAATAATGTAGAAAAACAGGAAAAATAGAATTAATTTATAAAAGTTTTAACAAAAATAGCCGTTGGTACGTTAATATGACCTCATGTAATCAATGTATTAATCTTCCATCATACAAAAATCTCTTATCTGCTATCATCATCTAATATAGACTAGTTTTTTTCATAATACGCAAAAACTCATCCTGATTAACTACACCATCATGATCCAAATCAGCTTCATCAATCATTTCGCGTAACTCTTCATCAGTTAATGTTTCGCCCAATTCACGTGCCACACGTTTTAGATTTTTGAATGAAATCGAACCGGTGTCATCATCGTCGAAGAGGCGGAAAGCTTTCAATATCTCCTCTTTGGTATCCTTTTCGGCCATTTTCATGGTCATTAGCTGAAGGAAGTCGTTAAAGGATATGCGGCCAGTACCGTCCTTGTCGATTTCGGCAATCATACGTTTGATTTCCTCCTTTTTTGGTTCAAAGCCAAGCGCTCGTATGGCAACCTTCAACTCTTTAACCTCAATAAAGCCGGTACATTCAGTATCGAACAAATCAAACGCCTCTTTAATATCGGCTTTTTGTGCTTCTGATAGCTCGAACTTGGGCCCGGATTTTTTACGCTGACTTGTCGACTGATGTGGGCGCTTACCGGTGGTACCAGTCATATTCAAGGTGGCATTTGACGGACTGTGCTCCATTATATGTATTTTTTATTATATGCAATTAATTTTTCGCTAATATGTAAAAAGATAAATAAATAAATGGTACTTTTATCATAGATGACAACGATAAACTGAACTCTTACACTAGCTGTTTTAATTTGTTTGTGTTTTAGAAACTGTGTTAATTTGTGTATGTTTTATAAACAAAGAAGCGTTGCTGTGACCACAATAGTGTCGTGACCGTGGCCACTAACGCGGTTATCCACTTCGTCTCTTCTCTTCCCTTCCCTTCGACCAGTGATGTGCGTGCGTATCGATTGCTTTCGTTCTTAAAAAATTTTCTTATTTTTGGCGTTTAGTGAAAAGTCGCTCAACGCTTTCTACGTTTTTCACAAATTAACTTTTACCAGGTAATTTTTAAAAACTAAAAAACAGGTGCTGATTTAGTTGGTAGTTTCTGTTAACTCACTTTCCAATTATCTTATTTTATCTCCCAAGGATTCTTAAAACAACCCACTCCAATATGTTCTTTCCTCGAAGGTGGTGAAATTTTCTTCTTGTTTTGCCAAACAGCTGTTTAGATGTTTAGTATTGCCATAACAAAGTTTTTAAGGACAAATTTGTTTTTGATCTACCAAGAAAACACGATATTCTGAAACATGCTGTGGTCATCAAAATATCTCTTTCATCTGTCATTCGTACTCAGATTTTACAGAGAACGTAAATACATTCTCTGGATTTTAGCCATAAAATAATCTGAATATTATTCATAGAAGTTTACGAAGTTCTACTTAATTATTAAATGACAAGAAAACGAAAACAAATTAATTCGCTTAAAAAAGTTGGTAGGAACGAGAAACGATTCCGGATGGGAACCAATGGAGCATCAACTTCTATTATGTAGGTGCAAGTAAGCTTGAAGAGATGTTCAATATCACTTCAACAAGTTTTAAATAATTTGTTTTTAATGTCTAGGAAACGATGCGAAGAAACGGAGTCTACAAACACTGTATCCACAAAGGAATGGAAGCGATGGTGCCGACTTTGCGCGAAATATGATGGCGATCAACTTAATATTTTTGCTGATTCACAAAAAGCGGATATTCAAGCTTTTTCAATTATAATGGAACTGTTTCACTTTGAAGTTTGTATAAAAATTTCAAATCGTACATTTATATAATATTTAATTCATTTTTATTTAATTCAGATAAAACCGAACGATGAGCTGCCCCATTTATTGTGCCCTGAATGTTGGTCTTTGATTAATTACTTGGAAAAGTATGCTAAGCATGTAAGGAAAGTGCAAGTGATGTATCATGATTTGATTAACGTATCAAATTTAACTCCAACTAATCCTGCAGAGTTATTTATAAAATATAATATCTCTAAATTGGAGTCATATATGCATGAAACATTTTCAGAAAATGATATTACAAACACATCTGCAATTGAACAAGTTTATGTGGCGGACTTGTCGATTGATGTGGTTAAAAGTGAGGCCGTTGAAGAAATGAACACTGACTTCGATGCTGAAATTAAATTAGAACCTCCTGATCCGTTTGCAACTGATAAGCCCAACAAAGATGAGGAGCACGATCATATGAGTGATGATGAAGCAAACAGTGTAAGAGGAAGTCGAAATTTATCAACAGATTCGAAAGATAGCTTATATACCAATGAAATTAAGGATTTAAAAAAGGATGCGGTTGATGATAAAAAAGAGGGCAGTTATGCTTGCAATATATGTGAATGTAAGTTTTCACAACGTAGAAATTACGTCTGGCACATGAAAAGCAAACATAATACGGAAACACCACATAAGTGCACAGCTTGTCAAAGCGTTTTCAAATATAAAAAAGAACTGGAACGTCATATGAAAAAAATGCATGCACCAACAGTTTACGATTGCTCATATTGTGATAAAAAATTCCAAGGATCAAAAACTCTCGAAAATCACATAAAGTCTCAGCATGAAAGAGAAGGTTGGTGTATTTGTGAGGAGTGTGGGGAAAGTGTGCGTTCCCAAGAGAAACTATTGGAGCATATGGCCCTACATACAGGCCATGGAGCTTTCGGTTGCAAGGAGTGTGGCAAACACTTTGCAAGAAAGTCCTATTTGAAGGTATGCATTAGAAATAAGCACAATGTTATTTTTTTTAAATATATACATATATTGATACTTCCAATTGTATTATGCGTAGATACACTCCCAGATTCATGGCGAGAAACATGTTTGTGGCGAATGTGGCTTGGAGCTAACTACATCTAAATCGCTCAATGTTCATATGAAAGTTCACTCCGATGAAATGCCACATGCATGTAATTATTGCGGACGCAAATTTAGACGTACAAAAGATTTGAAGAAACATCTTATAACACATACTGGCCTAAAGCCGTTCTCCTGTGACTTCTGTGATAAAACATTTTCCAGCGGTACCAGTTGTCGTTATCACAAAAAGCATTTACATCCGAAGGAATTAGCGGAGCAAGAGGCAGCTGGTGTAAAGGCGTATACGAAAAACATTCCTAAAATAGATGTATTGAAGGCGATGTAAGTTAAGATTCACTGCAGGAAGCAAAGTAATCAACACTAACAAACATATGTATATACAAATGTTTTTTTTTTTTTTCTTTACAGACTGCAAGGAACTGATGCTGTGAAAGAAATGGTTGATGGTGCAAGCGATAAGCGAATAAGGCTTCCAAAATTGGATGCAGAGTTGCCTAACACTTAAAAGATAGCCTAAATAACTTTTAAGAGGTGTATATTTGTATATGATCGAATTTCCAAAAGAAGTAATATTGGAAGTTTTTAATTCTCAATAGACTAGGCCCGTTAACATTAATGGAATGTAGTAATAATAACATTTGAAGTCTTAAATAGAATTAAAATATCGTTGGTGGACTATTTGTTGGAACATTAGAAGAAACTGCAGACACCGAACCAAAGTGAAGAAAAGATTAGTAAATAAATTCTTTCACATTCTATGTGCGAAAGTGAAGTTCTATGTACATGCATTCGAATATTAAGCAAAAAAATAACACCCAAATTTGTTTTTGAAATAAATCATTCGATAAATCAACAATTAAGGCATCGGAGTATTTATGACCTAATTAGCAATCATTTTTTTCAATATTTTGAAAAAAAATATTCGTCATGACAATTAGCAAATCTTGAGTTTTAAATTCGGAAAATTAAACATCAATACACTAAGATTAGTGCTCTGTTTGGCGACTGGCTCATTGTGTTAAATAGGTGGGCGTATATTTCCACGAGAACAAAACCATTGAGCAAATTGGATTTTTTTTTTTTTTGGCTAAAAAGAACGGATGTAGTGCATATAAAGGAGTAAATTTACGTCTTAGCTATATATCCTCAGATAAAAATGGATTAGGTGTTTTGAAATAAAAATTATTATTTTCATCATAATTGGGTCATTGGGCAGGGTGAAAAGTCATTGAACTTCATATTTTCACGCATGCATATACCAGTGTGAGTATGTATGTATGTATGTCGGTAATCAATCTTCATTGGTTTTATTGCGTGCAGCGTAACACAACCGTTTGTGACAAACATGACAACACCAACCACAACAAACCCAACGAATATAAAATGCTCAATGTAATCCGCTTAATGTAATTGAATAACAGTTTTTATGTAGATTTATGATTTGTTGGCCAGAAGAAATTCTAAGAAACCTGTTAGTAATAATAAGGAATGAAAGTATGAATAAAAGTGAGTGCATGCATACATTCGTATGTTAATGGTGTGGTGGTGTGTACATATCCAGTCAATTAATTAAAATTTTGCACGCACAAGCCGCAAATTAAAATGTCGTTATGTAAGCATTATTAATATAATTTAATTATTAAGAAAAGTAATACATATTTTTCAACGCTCGGCGGTTTTAAAACGCCGATTATTAATATGCTTTTTGCTTAAAATTTTTTGAACGAAAATTCTATATGTATACGTCAGTGTGTACGTCATTTCAATTAAATATTATACATAATTTCTTTTTCTTATCTATTTAGAATAAGCTTTTTAATGCTAAATAGATCAAAAAAAAAATTAAAACAAATCGTGCCATTGAAAGTTAATTAACTCAATATCACGATTTTCTACGAATACGCAATTAATCAATTATAAGGCTTTTAAGCTGTTGACAGTTTTGCCAAAAAGAATGAAACCACACACCGAATATGAAAAAGATTCAAATCAGATACATAATATATGTAAAAAAAATGAAACTATGTCGTTGCACGAAGTTTAAAGGGACCTTTTCAAAATATTTGTAACTAAGAGTAAAATGCTATACAAAACTGATACATTTGCATAGCTGCGAAGCCAAATGATTATGCTACTAGGTAATACCCGGAATTCCACCAAAGATATACAATCAAAAAATCTCTCTAGGAAAGAAGAAACTGTGATCGGTAGAGAAAATGTGACCACTCAATCTGCCTGAAAAAATGGGACTCTAGATTTCAGGAGCACATCACTTGAATACCCGATTCATCACGATACCGTCGAAGAAGTTGTCACTCGTCTAAACTTTCCGCGAATTCAAATACTTAAAAAGTGGACTAACGTTACTACCGGGATTAGGTCACCGAAAGAGTGACAGCCTTTGGTTGTATAAAATCCGGATCAACCCCGGTACGTAGAACTGTCAGTCAGTTATCACCAATACGAACTCTTTTCTTGTGAATGTCGTCCTCGGAGCCAAATCGCCACCCATAACAGACCTCGAGCTGCCTCGAAAGACCCACGTGACACTGACACATGTGGAGAGAGTCCCCGCGTGACACTTACAATCTCTTTGCATGCCTCTTTAGCCAATTCATCTAACCATCCTCTCGATGACTTAGACTTACTAGCCATTCCCTAACCGGGGTTGGAACAACCGATTCAACAACAACAACAACAACACAGAAGACATTTCTTCAAAATCCTGACCCGCTCTCTATGCGAGCTCTATGTTTTTAACGGATTTATTTGATAATGCCTGAAATTCTTCTTAAACGATATTAGCATATTGTGCGTACCGCTGTCTTCACCACTATTACTTTTCCCTAAGCTCCTCTCTACGAACCTGGCAGTAACAAGCCAAACTGCATTTCATCGTTGAACCAGGATTCATACGCTGTGTTTCTGAGTGTATTTTTATATTAATAATACTCCTTCGATTGCGGACAGAATAAAAAGCAGCCGACCGGCGAAAATAAAGGAAGAAATATTTGGAATAAAGTGATTATGTGCCCACGAGCATTTAAATACTAAAGCTGTCAATGATAACTCGCCAAGACGTGCCCCTTATGACCTCTGCTGCTACTTCACTGAAGGAGTAATGCTGTTCGATTCCAGTCAAACAAGAGCTTACGCACGGCTAGCTGGCTTAACTACTTTGTGATCATTATACACACATACTCGTACATAAAGTGACAATGCAATAATTTGTTCATTACAAAAATTGCGGTTTTTGATCAAATATTTTTTATAAGATAATATGTTTTAATTTGGAAATGCTTCTTCATTTATTCAATAATATTTTTACATTATCATACAACAGCAAACTTAATTAAAAAACAATAATAAATTTTAGAACAATTTTTATATTTTAAATTCATCACACACGCGCGTATTTTCTGCATTTCTCTTTTTATTTATTATTTTTTTTTATTTTTAATTTTTTTATTTAAAGTTGCCATCTTCAGCATCATCGCCTGCTAGTGAAGCTGTATTACAGCAACTTCAGTTGAGTATTTCATGTTTTTTTAATTCTTTGTTTTTGTCTTTTTTGCCATACATATTTTTGCTAACTGTCCTTACATTTACATGTTGTGGCTCTGTCACTGCTGTAGTAGCTGACAATATTGTTGTTGTCATTATCGATTGGCTTGTTCAGCTCCAGATTTGCTCTTTCTTTTTCTTGAAAGTTTTTTCTACCACAACCTTTCTTTTTTGCTTTGCATTTCTTTTTTCTTCGCGCATTTTGTTTTGCATACTCCCTGAAACCGGAGAATTTTTTTTTATAATCTTTTTTTCTTTGTTTTGTTTCACGCTTGCGCACCCGACGCGTAGTGTATAAATAGCCAACGTCGCGTCCAACTCAGAATCAGTTGGATTCTTACGCGCGATTACTTTGTTACGCTGCACCGTTGATGAGGCGGCCTTTAACAAATGGAAACTTTTTGACTCTCTCATACACATAAAATATTTGTATTTTTTTTCTAAATTGGAAGCAGTTGTTTTTAGTGGCTTGTATCGCCTAATTGCTGCGTGCCTAAGTGTTGTGAATTTCAATTAATCAGTCGCGTTTGCGCGCTGCTTGTTGCAACGCCTTGTTGGAAATACAAATTGCACGTTTCGCTCACTGCTATCATTCACATATTTGTATATATTTATATACTATGTGCGTGCCGCCGGCCGTTTGAAAATGTGTCACTAGCAAATTGTGACCGTTTGTAGGTGTCGACCGTGGCCGTGACGTGAAATATATTCGTACAATTCGTTAGAAATGTGAAAAGTGTGACAACGCATTAAAGAAACAAAAAGAATACAAGAAAAAAATATTGAAATTACTTCTTAGTTTTTTTTTTTTTTTTTGAAAATATATATTTATTATATTTATCGGAAAATAAATAGTTTTTAAATACTGCTTCGTGAATGCTGAATACTTTCTGGTGAATGTAGAGGATTATTTTTGAAGTAAGTGGATGCAGAATAAAATATAGGTTTAAGATGAATATGATATTCGTACTAAAACATGTACGTTTGAATTATTGAAACTTTTTTTATATTTTGATATTAACTTTTTCATTTTATTTGAAAGTTTTATAGGTGAATAATATATTTTTTGACAAATAAAGGTGTTGGTGTTATAATGGTCATTCATTTTTGTATAGAAATTCGCAAAAACTTTTTTTTTTTGAATTTTTTAATCAAGGCAACAAAAAGAACAGCAAATTATTTGCTCAAAATTTTCAATGAAAAACAGAACTGTTTACTGCACTTCAGTTAAGGAAAGTTAAAATTTGTTAAATGTCAGTTTGACTTATTTCGGGTTAAAAGTGATTTTGCCCATGAAATATTCGGATTTGAAATAAGAGAGATTTATTTTCAATTTTTGCTATGCTACAATAATATTTCAACGTTTATTTTCGATTGCATAATGCAGGGCCCCTGCAGCCCCTCCGAGTGTAAGTAAATTAAATCTCCTGATAAAAAAACAAACAGCCGTTCGGAGGCGGCTTAGTATAAATTGTAGGCCCCTCCATTTGTTGGAAAATCCTTAAGACGCAAAACCTCAAATTGGAGGAGGATATCGACCGAAAATTGCTTTAGCGGTTTCAAAGCGCCAATTATATTTAAAATATATGGATATAACGAAAATGGTGGCGGGCTGTTTTTAATGGAAGATTTTAGAGATAATACTTAATATCACATATCGAGTTAGCTTATTTTCGATGCTTTTTCAAGCTTCTATTTCTTAATAATAAGTATTAAAGTATAAATTTGGTTGATTGATTTCCCTTAAATTTGTTTAACGCTAATCTAAGCAAACCGGAAATTACAATCATTTTAATTTATTATATATTAAAAGTAAAAGTTTTAAATATTAGCATGCAAGCCAACAAAAAATCTAAGTGGCTCAATCAAATTAATTTTTTTAACACTCAGGCAATAATTCAAAATTTCTACTTTCTGTTTTTTATGCGGATCTGAAACTTAGCAAAGTAACATTTTTAAAATTTTAATAATTTTTATTTATTCGTTTGTATAATTTTTGTTGAATTGGCCACGCTCACCTACATTTTCTCAGGTCTCACCTGAATTATTGATTTTTTATTTATTTATTTTTTTTTAATCTATTTACTATATTTATATTTTTTGACAAATGCGATTAACTACATATTTATGTTAACAGCTACTTAACATAAATGAAAGCGATCCAATTCGCTTCATGTATTGCGGTCACCAAGCTGTAAAGTGGCTCATTTAGCTATGCAAAATATTTAATGGTGCCATTCCTATGAATGTAAAGACAAGCACTTCCACTTAATCCCAATTCTTTGTTTTTTATTTTTTCTATGATGATTTCGCATAATTAAGAGAGAAGATGCTTAATTTCCACAGAGCTACTCAGTTTCGCCTGGCTGAAGAATATTTGCGGTTCTAACACTCCGCTATGCTAACAAAATACTAGTCATTTGCACTTAGTTGTAAAGATGTATAAAATGTATAAGTATAAGTGTTCAAGCATTGTTAAAAAAAAACTTTACTAAAATTTGTTAATTAATGAAAAACATAAATCTTTTCGGCTCAAAAAGGTCGAATGCTAACGAACAGAATAAGAAGAATGTTTGCTTTAACAAAAATTGAAGAACATAAATTAAAATTAAATTAAATAAAATGTAAAAAAAAACATTATAATTAAGTTAATATTAAATAATATAAAATGAATCAAATTCAAAAAGAAACAAAATAAAAAACTTAATTAAATGAAATAAAATAAAATGAAATAAATAAAAAAAAATTAAATAAAAAAGTAAATAATAAAGGCAAACCAATTTAAATAAAGGTAAAATAAATAAAATTGAATAACATGAATTTGGAACATAGGAAAATGATATTAAAAAAGAAACCAAAAATTAAATAATTTAATTTAATTTCATTTTAATATTAAATAAATACAAATTAATTTGATTAAAATAAAATTAAATAATATGAAATGAAATATATTAAATAAAATAAAATAAAATATTATAAATTAATTAAATAAGTTAACTAAGTTAAATAAACTAATGATATTAAATAAAAAAGATTAAATATTTAATTAAATACAGAAATTAAATAAAAAAGACTAAATGAATTAAAATTAAATTAAATAAAGTAAAAAAATAACAAGAAATGAAACAGATTAAAAAAGAATTAAAGTAAAAAAGTAAAGTAAATTAAATTAAATGAATTGAAAATGATAATAAAAACTTAATAAAATTTATTTATTTTTTTATAATAAATAATGTAAAATTAAACATCACGAAATTAAATAGATTAATAAAGAAATAAAATATAAAAATTAAATAAAATAATTTCGTTAAATATATTAAAATGTAATAATATTAAATGAAGAAGACTCAAAATGAAATAAAATGGAATAAATTGAATAAAAACATGTTGATCGATGCTCTTTATGCTAATTATGTTCGTACGTAACATAAAATAATAATATACTTAATCAAGTTGGTTAAAAAAATGTCAATTTTGTGAGTAACATTTTTTTCTTTTTCTTTTTGTTGATGTGGAAAATATCGTAATTTTTCACTTCCATATGTGATATTCGCTTGTGCTCACTCAATTGAGCGCTAATGAGCCCTGCCCACTTTGTTGTCAAAATTTTGCTTGACTACCGGCCGAATACCGTTATTAATGTTTGTTTACATTAGCATCTTCACAGCTAACGATCACAATTTTTATATTTGTCTTAATGATTTACTAAAATAATAAATAAACTAAAGAAACAACAAAGTTAAAACAAAGTAATAAATAAATAAATAAACGAAATGGTAGAATTTAAAAAAAAATATCAAAAATTAGGTTAACAGATGTGGCAAACAGAAATGTCCAAAACAAATATGTATGCCGAGTTATTACTCAAACGCTCTCTTGCACGAACAATTTTGTTCGCTCATATGTATTGATATTTTGATTTCTTTTAAATTGGTTTTTAAACACCAGAAGAAATTGACTAAAAAAAAACTATAAATAAATAAAATCAAAAGCGGCAGATGATGAAAAGCCAAAAACAAACTACGCAGAATCTCCAGCGGTAGAAATATGCCGTTCATTTACGCATATGTAAATATGTACATAGATATGTGCTTGTGCATTATTTATTTATTTCATTCATTTTTAAAATTTTTTGTTGGTGTTTTTGAGCTTTTGTGGTAAAAATTTGCATTCAGATTGACGTTCTGGTTTTTGAATCTTTATTTACTGCACCCGAAAGGGACATTGAACTTGTATCATAATATTTTTCCTTTAATTTTGAATTTTATTTTAGTTTATTATGATATTGGGTTTGGTTTCTGATCCCTAATGGATCAAGGTAAAATTATATTTAATTATATTTAATTAAAATGCAATAAATAACAGTTATAAAAAAATAAAAATAAAAGTAAAAATTTTAATTAAATAAAATTAGCTACTTTTTATATTTTAATTGAATAAATAATTTCAAACTTAGAATTGTTTTTGTTTTTTTGCTTATAATCATCTACCTCAGTAAATAATTATAAGTGTATAGTAAGCAAAAAAAAAATTCTTAATAACATAAATATTTTCACTTCACTAGTCCCCATCCGTTTAATTTTATAATTTTGAATCGACAACAAAGGTTTACAGCCTTTGGTGGTTAAAATTTTCGAATACAATTCTGAAAATTACTGTTTTATTATCTTAAAGACTAAAATGAATAAACTAGGCCAAAATCCTTTTATTACAGTATTCATAAATTTGCTCCGATTTCTCTACCGACTTGCTGACGTTCCTATACAAAGAACTTTAATTATTAATTTATGATTTTTACATATTTTATGACTTTTTTAATTTCTGATCTTAATCAATTTTTATTACTTTTTCAAAATTGTTAATATTTGATTGCCTTTCTATTTGGCTTGCTCTACGTATCTAGTTTTTAGGCTTCATAATTTACGACATAACTACGCAGCGGTTTCGTTTTGTAGTTTTCATTTTTGCATATATCTAATTAGAAATTTATTTAATTCGCTATATTAAAGAGTTTTGTCTTTCTCTCATTTACATGTGTTCATTTGGCTTTAACCTATCTCCTAGTAGTTAAAACGGACGTAATAGTAAAGTAAGTAAAGCTTAGAAAAGAAAACAAATTAATAAAAATATAATTATAGTTCTGTTTTCTAATATTCGTCAAGAGACTACGTTTGAACTTAATATTGCTTCATTCTTCTCGTGCCAAAAATTCCACTAAATTTAGCACAAATTAAGTGATTATTGTTATTATTGGCATCAACTCGAAAGCAATTAACAATGACTGAAAATTATTTGATGCACCCATTGATCTTAGAAATAATTATAAAAGAAAATTGCTTTGGTATATAAAAGAAGAAAAGAATGCAAAACAAAAGACTTAAGCAACGAACCCAGGGCAAGAGATATCAAACACAAACATTTATCGAGCCCCAATCGCGAAAAAGGTGAAAGCGACAAAAAGTAAATTTTACCGCGGACGATTTTTTAATTTTTGCAATTCAGAATTAAAAGCACAGGCGGCCACGGTAGCCGAGTGGTTAGCGTTGCGTACTGACAATGGGAAGGCACGGGCTCGTATCTCGGTGCCACCAAAATCCAAAAGGAATGGAAAAATTAATTTCAATAAAAAACACCTCCTAGTGTATTTCGGACACGAAATAGACGCTACTCATAAAAAACCCTCAGGCGTTCGGAGGCAACTTAGTATAAACTGTATGTTCCTCCATTTGTTGGGAAAACTACAAGACACAAGCCACAAATTGAAGGAGGAGCTTGGCCGAAAATCGCTTCAGCGTTTACAAAGTGTCTATTATTAAAGTAGCATCAAATACTGATTTATTACTATACTGATTTGATTGCAGGCCCGTTTTCTACTAGCGACACCCCACAGACTTATTGTGCACATTCTAATTTTGGTA